TGGAAATAACTACTAACAAAAAGTTGACGGGTATCCGAGTTTCACAAGGAATATAGTAAGTTACTGAAAATAACTACTAACAAAAAGTTGACGGGTATCCGAGTTTCACAAGGAATACAGTAAGTTACTGGAAATAACTACTAACAAAAAGTTGACGGGTATCCGAGTTTCACAAGGAATACAGTGAGTTACTGGAAATAACTACTAAGAAAAAGAGTGAGTATGAGAGTTGTCTGGACATTGCAAGAATTGTGCTGAGTTACTGGAAATAACAAAGACAAAAGTATAAATACTAGATTTATCTGGATGTCACAGGAAATGTAACAAATCACAAATGTTATGATAAGTATTACCATTTCATATTCAATGAATTCTATACTAGTATTCCTTTCATCAACAATTTCATGACGTTAAGTATTCTGGTAAATGTATTACTAAATACAAAAGCTTTTAAGGTAATGTTATGATAAGTATTCCAGACTATATATATTTCACTTTGCAACACATTTGTACACGTAGGCAGCGTGTCTTTCAACAAATACAGAAATACTTATGGATCATAACTTTAGCCCACAAGTTGCAAATTTGTACTTATTTGAACTTGAATTTTCATTAATAACAAAACTTGGTAAGAAAGACTATAACAAAGCTTGCAATGTCGATACTTTTTTTTTTTACATTTACCAAATTTTCCTGACACTGCTAAACATATCTATCCATTTCTAACCTTGAAAATAACATCCTAGTCCAAAATATCTGATTAATCACACACATTTAATTTTTAAGTCCTAAATTTTCTATTTCCTAATACAAATCTTTTTACTCCAATTGTTTATTATATATACAATAAAACAAATGAAGTTTCTCTTACCATACTTATAAAACCAATTTCATTACATTTTGTGGTAAAGTCATTTCTTACAACTGTTTATAAGATTTCATAATGTTATAAAATATACAATAGACTTTAATACTATCAAGATTACTATTTTTATTGCTTCTATTTACAGTTTATAATTTGAAGGAAATAAACACCTTTAGTAAGGCAGCCTTCATTAGCTTGTAGTTATTGAAAGCTTTACAATAAATCTGTACATAGTACAGCATAACACCATCAGTTTCATTTCTATTATTTATCATTGTTAATATTTTATTGATTAAGTCTTATTACTGTGGTTATTTTCTCAGCATCTCTTATAAATTCCAAGAACTTCTTAGGGTTTAACTTTATAGGTTATCCTAACTGTCCACTGACTATGTGTGCATGGAGAAGGTGTGGTCTTAATCCTGGATTGGTTACTTAGAGACTCAAAACATAGCATCTCTAGTATTTTCTTTTTATTGCATTATGTTATTTTAAATATGAAATTGATATCAAAATTCTTTGCAGAACTACCTGTACGTCCTGATAAAAATGAAAGAACCAGTAACATGTTATAGCCATTCACTTTTGCTGTTAAACTAGTTTAACACTGTCATCAGATTATTGACATAATATGGAGTAAACAACTAGTTCTTACGTGTCTTGTACATAAAGGTGTACTTCTTTCTTTCTTTATGACATAATGAATTTGTTATATTTATTTTAATATCAACGTTTGTTTAGATTAAATTTATATTTAGAAA